AGCTGACCATTAGTTAATCCAGCACAGGCCTTAAAAATATTTAACCAGAAACATTAAGACTACATTTTTCCTAACAAAAACAGAGAGAGAGTGAGACAAAAAAGAAAAGGAGAAGTGAGAGTGATGAAGGAGTTGGAAGATACCTGAGAATGCCGTGTCTCTTCAGGTTGTTTATCCCCAGCTGTTATCCCAGAAGTCAGCCCAGAAGTGTATTTTTAATACCCCTTAATAATAATAAAAACGACCCTGTTAGTTTACTGCAGACCCTGTTAGTTACTGCCACTCAGGAGGCCTGCGGCAGCTCGTCTGCATTGCTCTGGCCGTGGAGCCAGCTCCCTCTGCCCCTCGGCCCAGGTAGCAGCTGGCAGAGTCCCAGGGTTGGAGACGAAGCCCGGGCAGAGCCACGCACAAGATCCTAACCGCTCCACAGTGTGCCTGGGCACAGCAGGTGGTCTCCAGGCTGAAGATGCGTCCTGCTGCTCTGGAGACACACGAGGCGCCAGGGACAGAAGCACTGCCACTGCTGAGCCGAATCCTCCCTCCCACCCAGGACACCTGCACTGTGGATGTATCTCTTCCAAGGTGTTTGCCAAGACAGCGCAGTAGAGAGCGGCAACTCTGAGCAAGGACTCCCATGAGCTGCTCTTCATTAGCGCAGCATTCAACAAGTGGCTCCTCTGGAATGGGCTTTTTACTTTACTTAGACACTCGTGTGTGTGCACCGCTCCAATACCCCGGACTCCACACTGGGCAGTCGGCTTCCACCTCAGACACAGTGGGGCTTGTTTATTCTCCTGGACCTGAAGTCACTGAGATGCTCTGCCTGATTTCTCTTCATGTGTTCGTTTTATATCTCAGGAGGGCACAGAGGAAAGACAGGCTTTGTTTTATATTGCAAACAACATTCAGGCCAGTTTTCACAAACGTGATTACGTAGCACAATTGCCTGTTAGTGGTCGGTTTTCCCGCATGGAAACTCTTCCTGGCCACTTGCAAGCCCGCAGTAGCCATCTGCTGCATGACCTTGAGGTGGCCCGTGATGACCCAGTGCCACTCACATGCCCATGCCGCACTGATCCTACAATATCTGTTAGGTTTCTGCACTTCTGGGCTCTAAACTCAGAGATGATTTCTGCCAAACAGTTAAAATATGGGAAGATTTAATGATATCAGTGTCACAAGAAAGAATAAAAGAATAAACTGAATGATGGCTAGAAAGGAAAGGATCACTGTGGCCTCCTATGTCCTGTTTGTGAAGCACTGCAGCATCCCAAGTGGTGTCTTCATTCAGAAGGCAGCAGGCCGGAGCAGCACACAGAGTGGTGTTTGTGGGGAGACAGACAGACAGACAGACAAGTGACCTGGAGACTGAGTGAGGCCTTGCCTCAAAATAAAAACTGAACAAAGGGCTGAGGTGTAACTGAGTGCGAAGGCCCTGGGTTCAATCCCAGCACCTGGAGAATACATACATGCATACACACTACATACACACACATTCATACACGCATGTACATACACAGGCATACATACACACACTATGTACACATGCATTCATGCACACATGTACATACACAGGCATACATACATACACACTACTTTCATGCACATAAAATATAAAATGAGTGGGAGCAGACAACACAATTTAGACAGAACATTTTTGTTTACCAAGTTCTACAGTCCCCTTTCCTCCTGCTATTGAAATTTTGCCTTTACCATTTTCTCCTGCTCTTGGACCTGATTTTCTTTCTCCTCTGCAGAGCATTGGCTCTCAGGTTCAGTCTGCTGTCACCTTCCTGCCCCCACCCCCAGGGCCCTGAGTGTGACAGCTGCATCCCGGGTGCAGAGCTGCAAGCAACACAGGGCTCTTATCACGAGTGGGGCTCATGTTGACCCCCTCCCACAGTGACCCATCAGGATGGAAAAGACCGCAACAGAGCGGCGTCCGTGGGGTGGTGCTGTGCATACCGGTCACGTTCTCCCAAGGCTGCTGAGTGCAGCTCTGGGTCTGCAGCCCACAACACACGGCACCTTTGGGGGCCACGCTCTGCCAGGGGGAGCTGGGGTGCACACAGCAGGCCCTCACCCTGCGGGAGAAAGAGCCCCTGCCTCTGACAGTCCCCACCAGTGTCCCCGAGGTGGTCCTGTGGCCTGGGTGTGGGGGTGGGGAGTAAGTATTTCCTCACAGCTAACAAGTGAGGTGCTCAGACTGCCCAGAATTGTATCTGATGGGCTCTGGAGATGAATGCTCTACAAGAGAAGAGTAGCAACCAGAACTGGGAGGCCGTTCTGTTTGCTTCTCTTGCTTAGTTTTTTTCTACTAAGCTAAAAAGAGGAAGGAATTGAGACTTTCCTTGCTGTTTAAAAAATTAATCAAAGTTTTCTGTCACCATTTGAATTATCCAGCATTTATCCTGATTAACCCTAGTGCTGTTAGCAAAAGCTCTTGGGCATCTTCCAAGATTCCTTACTGTCTATCTTGTGAGCAACTTTAGAGTGAATTCTATGTGAATTAACCCATTTATGCCAAAGATTGAAATTTTTAAAAATTGTGCATGAAATTCCTATATATTACCTAGAAAGATTAAAGGAAGAAGAATTTGAAAGCATTTCATTATGTCTCGTGTTATAGGCATTCTAAAAGGGGATCACTAGGCCCTGGAGGTTACATAGAAACTCACTGAAAATAAGGCATGCGTCGTCATTCTAAAGCTGCATCCCTCCTGACACTTGGTAGTGGGTGTCACTCACCCTGTGGCTCCATGTCCAGCAGAGGGCTAACCCTGGCAAGGGGCCTGGAAGCCAGGAAGTGAGGTGCCCTGGGTGCTTGCTGCGAGGGGGTGCTCTGATGAGCGCTGCATGGGCCTTATCCGGTCCCCCAACCCCCCATCCGGCAGTGTGCCTGCTCAGTAAGGAAGCCAGGACCAGGAAAGTGTCCAGGATCACAGCAGGAAAGGAGGAGAGCTGGAGCTTGAGCCCACTTTGTGGGTAGAATGCAGTGGTAACTGCAAAGCCCCCATCGCTAATCTTCCATCCACAACAAGAGAGGGCGTGACCATGCAAGGGTCCTTCTTTGAAACAAACCCTGAGTATGGGTTTTGAAAAGGAAAATAACTCACAAAGTAGCTGAGGTGACGGTAATGTTTGGAATGAACCATTTTATGCACTGATGTCTTAGCTAAAGAGTGAAGCTCTTGAATGTAGAATTTCAGGAAGCAAGTTTAGGGTGAGGTAGATTTTCTGAGATCATTCACAATGGAATGGAGGCCATGGTCTTTGTTCTCTATCTTTTTATTTTACAAATTCACAAATCAAAGAATAAGGCACATTTATTTCCATAGGGGAAAACAAACTTAATTACTTCAAGTTAATTCAGGGAAGCTGTTGCCAGTGGAGTCCAGCACACAGATCAGTGGGAGGCAGTGTTACCAGAGGACTCAGTATGCAAAATAGAGGAATCAAAGGGCAGAGTGAGGGGTGTCCTAGAAAGGAAACAGAGGGAGAGAGAGACAGACAGTGCTGCGGCCAGGACGCTTGTCCTCGGGCGTCTTCCCGTGTGCAGTTTTTAAGATGGCCTTTCCTGGCACGGAGCCACCAAGCACAGCGTCACTTAAGCTTTTGTTTCTGTCTTACGGCTTACTTCATGGAATCTCCAGGTCATTTTCCTGTCCTCTTTCCTTCCAGTGCCAGTGAATAGTTGTCTTTTTACCAGTCGTTGATTCTTCCAGAGTAGGGCCTTCAAAACCCAAATAGGAGAACAGAACTGATGCCTTTTCCGTGGATGCAGAGAGCACCGGCCCCAGGATCAGAGCTGGGACTGGCAGGAGACTCGCACGCTGTGAGCACCCATGGACTTTGCTCACCTGTGCCTCTGTTTCTCCACGGAGACTGCTGGGACCTCGGGGTAGGGACCGTTTTGTCCGCCAGCTCCCTCCCCCAGTGCACTGTCCAGTGCGCAAGGCAGAGGGGGCATCGCAGGGAGCCCTCCACTCAGCGCAGAGAGTGAGTGAGTGAGGTAGCGGCAGCGCTCACCCCGTCGCCTTTCCCCACCAGCAATGACCAGGTTGTTGTGCCAGTTTCTCAAGTTTTATTTTTTCAGGGTTTTAGCCTCTGATTGCAGGGAGTGGTACGTGTACATGACACGTTCACTCTGTCCATGTCCTCCTCACCCCCGCCTCCTGGTCCCCTTCCTTCTGTGAAAGCTCTGCCTCCCCGCTCCCTAGTATCTGTTTTTTACTTTGTTCTCTATGTGTAGTGTGACTTTCTCACAGAAGAGAATCTGTGTGATATTTAAGCTTGTATGTTGTGATTCTTAAAAACCATCTGCAAATCCCCGAGACTTGTATACACTCATGCCCACCACACAGAGCCACTGCCAGTTGTCAAGCACGGTTAGGAAGAAGCATGCCTGTAGACACTGTGCTTGGTCTGCTTTGTTATGGATGGAGCAGGAATGGCAAATCATATTCCTTCTCTTGCTTCAAAGATAATCAGATCCCACAGAGACAGGCACCAGAGTTAATACCAGTTACTCTGGGAAAACAAATAACATCTGCATGGATTAAAGCAAAAGAAGAGTGTGGGTCAGTGAGGGCGTCATTGTTTATGGCTTTCTTCCATCCTCAAGCAGAATATCCATAGTTCTTAATGGAATATTCATATTTCTTTGTGGGTTTATTGAGGCCACAAACAACCAACGCTTTACTGAGTGGTGTTGGAGTTTTTTGCTTTTAACCTGATGTATTTTAATTTGTGCTTAATGAGCTACACCAACATATCAGCTTGGTACTGCAGAGACAAGTAGCTAAGTGTTCCTTGCATTAGCCAGAGGTCTAGGGATAATAAGGAAATCAATAAGACCCAGCCAGAGCAGGAAGAGGAACCCCCTCTCTGTCAAGAGTGCTGGCCTGGTCATCACCTGTGCGGGGAGGAAGTGGCTTCTCTGCCTCCCAAAGAGCCAGGATTCTGTGCTCACTGCTAACATCCTGCTCTTTGTCCATCAGTTTTCAGGACTCTATCTGCTGTCCTTCTTCACCATCCTCATCGGGCTGGTGCTGTACTTCTCCACCTCCACCTACATAGCCCAGGACCCCCGTGTGTACAAGCAGTTCCGGAACCCTGCGGGGCCTGTCGTGGACTTGCCCGCTGCGGCCCAGGTCGAGCCCTCGGTCACCTACACCAGCCTGGGCCAGGAGACCGAAGAGGAGCCCCGCGTGCGCGTGGCCTAGGCCGTGGCCCCGTGCTCGCCATCATCTCCGTGTTGTACATAGAGAAAGGTATTTACTAGGTGCAGCTCACACAGGTGGCCTGCAAGGTAGCAAGTCCTGGGAGCCTGGAGAGGTGCATGCTAAGGACCACGGGGGGCCAGGCCCAGTGCGCCTGCCCAGAGCCACTCAGCGGTGTGCACCCTGTCACAGCCCCCGCGTCAGTTACTGTGACAATGTCCCGATCAAAATCCGTGTCCTCGTTATCATGACTTGTGTGACTGCTGTGATGCCGTCTTCAGGAGGGTCTTTTGGACTCCTGGTAGAACAATTGCCAGGGCCCACGCAGTCCACAGAAGCCCACTGCTCTATGGAAATCCACCTCTGAGGGGTCATACTTTAGTGTTTGCCTAGACAGAGTGACGCGTGCCACAGGAGCGCCACCCTGAGAAGTGTCATAATCCTGGGCCCAGTTCCTGGTGGTTTCTCTCACCCTGTCGGATTGCCTGCCTGCTCAGTAAGTACTTTGTGCTGTGACCCTTGTGGGGAGGGGCAAATGACCACACAATTCTCTATTCTAGGAATAGACTTAAAACAAGTATTTTAGCCTTTTTATATTTCAGTCGCTGATTACCCAAGCCATCGCCTTTCTTTTGGGCCATGAAATTCAGCTAATCAAGTCCCTGTAGTAACAGGATAAGAACTGTTCCATTTCTGTGGCTTAGGGGAAACCCCCAAAATAGGAACATTTGTGTTTGGGGTTAGATTTGCTTTCAAACTTTTTCTGCCCCTCCCTAAATCATCTCTTCAAAAATTATTTTTTATTTTATTTTCCTCCTATTGCCTAGATTCTCTTAATCATAATATGCAAATTAATCAAGGCACAGAAAAAAAGCCATACTCCTCTACCTTCTTAATTATAGCGCATGTTTTTGAAATGTACTGCGTGGAAATGATTTTTACTTTGGAGTAGCATTGGTTACGCCACCTCCTGAGGCCACGGCACTGAGCTGGGCCGTCCTGATGATGGCTCAGTTGCCGTGGGAGACGTCACCGTTGGAAAAGCCTGGCATGGTGGTCACAGCTGACCTGCATCTTAACAGCAGAGCACACAGGCGCAACGGCCTAGTGGGTGCAGAGAATACTACAGGGTCCCGAAAGCCCTGCACCACATGGCTCCATCCCAGCCTGGCGCCTTTGAGAAACCCCTTCATTCCAAACACAGGAGACCAAGAACCACAGGCCCCTGTCTCTTGGAACAGACGCGCCATGTCAGTGCGTGAAGTGTGTTGTAGGTTGGGCCGACTTTAATGCCACCCACCCCAGGGCACCTCTGGTAACATGCCAGGGCTTGCATAGCGTTTATGTGCCCTTGGGCAATTCAGAACAATGCCTCTTAGGCAGGCAAGGAACGCAAAACACTGCTGGAGTCTGTAGAGAAGAGATAGTGGGGTGGGGCCTGGTGAGGCCTCAAAGTGCAGGCAGAAGCAGCCCACGCTGTTCCCAGCACTCCGTGGCCTTTTTGCATGACTCCTACACAGGCGGGGGTCCTGTCACAGAAGATGGCAGAGGAACCATCCTCTCTGATATGCAGATTTCATGGTCACTCCTGCCCCTCAGGAGCAGGCTTCATTTGCTGTGGAGTCCAGGTCAACCTGAAGCTCTATCAAATCAAAACAACCTTGCTACCTTTGAACCAATTAAATACCTTTCTCTGAATGTTTTTCTTAATTCAGATCTGAAGACCTTTAAAGATTGTGGTTTTATTTTTGTGTTTACATTCCTTTGGTTTGCATAATTTGCTTGATTTATTTCATTTGTAGTATTTATTTTAAGCCAAATGTGTTTGTCATTTTGATTCATTTTTATGATGCTAATTTGTAGACACTTAGTAAAGTCTTATGAGAAGCAAGTGGCTGGAATAATTTCTAAGTCCACTCAGTGGACTGGGAATTTTTTTAAAAATTCAAATTTCCAAAGGTTTGCAATTGACTAATGGCTAAAGGCTGCCATTTGAATTATTTTCTAGGATGTTTAGATTGACTACTATATGGAAGCCAAGTGTGAAGTTCAAGGTAAACTCATTGTAGGCCCTTGTCATCCGGTGTCCTGGTAGTCAGACCTTCGTGTCACCGGGTCACCTCACCGTGTTGGTTTGTCTCTATTTAGAGAGGCTGCAGATGTACTAAGCTGTCCATGACCAGGAAAGGACAAGAAGAGTAACAAAGGACAAATTCTTTTTCTGTGTAAAAACATTGATCCTTTGGGAATGGGGAGGGAAATGGGAATAGGGCAATATTAATTCTAGCAGTTTTAGTTTCTGAGATTTCATAGCCTCAGTAGAAACCAGCAAAAATTTCAGCTGTTCAGTCCACCACCACTCTTCCTCCACAAGATGAGACTTCCAAAACCTGTACACAGTCTGATTACACTCTCCTGAAGCCGTGCCCCCCAAGGAAAGCGGTGGTTCTCATTTCCTCGTCCAAGTCTTGCACTGGGGACAAGCCGGTCCTGGTCACTCCTTCCCCCAGCTGCACACCCAACACTCACGTCCGGTAGACCAAGCGAGGGAATGGTTTGCACCACTGTGTCCCATGAAAATGTTTCAATGTTTAGTTTAGATATTGCTAACTTGTGCTATTAACCTGACAAGCGTGTAGTATTGTTTGTTTTGGTTTATTTTTTATTTGTAACCACTTAGTAGTCCCAGCTAGATACCAGTACAGATTTTACCCCATGGGTAGGATTCTATTGTTAAGCCACATAATAAAGCACACTAATCCTGACACTGCAAATGGAAAAATACAAACCAAAAAAAGGAAAATTACACCAATAAGTTGAAGAAGCTGTCCGTTTTTTGATATTTGCATGCTCCCCTCTGGACTGGCTGTGGCAATGTAATGCCTGTATAATGTTTTCAAATAAAAATAAATGCTTTATGAAAGCACCGAGTTCTTGGCTATCTTGAGTGTTTGTGCACGCTATGACAACCAAGGAAGCAGCTCTCTTGGGATCCTGGAAATAGCAGTGAAAGCGGATAGCCGGGTACAGTTCAAAATACAGGCCAGCAAGAAAATATTTCCAAATTAGGAAGGGCACTGTCGGTCTCTGAATTATAGCTCCAAAAAGCCAAATCTGACACATTTGTCCTTTGCAAAATTAATTATTTATCTGGGTACTCTCAGGCTCCAGGGCTACAGGCACAAAGCCTGCATTTAACACACACAGGACAAAGTGAATGTACCCCAGGTGAGTACTGCGCATTCTCCCAAGCAGAGATTTGTAAAGCAGGGACCCCTGGCACCCCATGTTTCTGCCAGAACCCTGACTCCCAGGATCAGCCCTCCCCCGCCTGCCATCACCCCAAAGCCCTGAGAACCTCAAGCAGATCCCGCACACTTGCTCATGCTCCTGCACTCATGTTCATGATCAGCGCCCCAAAGCACACACACGCCCCACAACTGTGTGTCTGAGTTATACGCTCACAGTAGTCTTTGAAGAACACATTTTCTAGGGGAAAAGGAACAGCCACACACTATATGCTTTATAAAGGACTCTGAAAGGTGTTCTTAGGTCAACCCCTAGAGAGTCAGAACAGCACGTACTTCACATAAACTTCTTGAAAACATGGGATCTGTAGTTGAAAAAAGATGTCTTTGAACAATGTAAATCTTTCTCTAAAGGCTTGTTTAATTTTATTTAGTAAGCTCTTTGATCAAAGATGAAATAAAGTTGAACTTCAGCCTAGCTTATATCCAAACACCCGGCAATCCCAAACGACTGGTTCCAGTTAGCATAAACAGTAAATAGACAGGTCATGTTCCATCTTTTCCCCCCACCGAATTATAATTTTCTTAAGTGAAAGAACTGATTTTCCCAAGTGCTTGCATGCTCTTGATATGCTAAAATAAGGAAGCGCTTGAGTGACTTTCATAGCTATGCGCATGAGGCAAAATAGCAAAAACTAAAGTTCAGCAGGAGGGCTGAAACTTCTTACTCTATCTTCATGTTTCCCAGGAAAACAGGCCGCAGAGTGTGCCACGCCGGGCCCCGAAGCCAGGCCCTTGTCTGCGCCGGTGCCAGCCGCACCCACGAGGCCTCTCATGCATTTTCACTCCACGCCCTTTAAACCATAAACGCCGGCATAAACCATAAACCATAAACTATACATTTTGAAGTTCTACTGCAGAATATTTTTCTCCTACTATTCGTAAGGACATTTTGCACTATAAAATTCCTTTTTTGGAAAGGAGGGAGTCCCCATGCCCACCGAAATGCTCCGTCTGGAGAGCTAAAACTCACTTTCAATGTGGTCCCCGGACCCAGGCCCGGGTGTGAAACGGCACTGTTCTTCTGTGACTCACAAGTGGCGGTTTGAGCTCGCAGCGCACCGCCTTCATCGTATGACAGGTCTTTACGCCTTCCTTGCGTCTTCTTTTTTCCTCTTTTTTTTCTTTCTGCAAATGCAGAGGGCTCGGTATGGACAACCTAGCTGGATCTCTGCCCACATTCTCTGTATGGTCAAAGATGTTTAATTCAAAACCACCCTAAGGCAGCTAGAAGGCCTGACAGGACCAGCCATTGTCCTCAGACAGCCAGAGAGGTCTCGCCACACACACGGCTGCAGCCTGATTAACAAGGAAAACGAATGACAAGTGGGAGGAGGTCTCGGAGATGTGCTTTGAGATCAGGGCCATCCATCTGGAAGGGCAAAGGGCCGTGGGGACAACACTGAACTCCGTAAAGGCTCGAAAGCGAGCTTGTCGCTCACCCTCACATTAGCACTAGGACAAACCCCACAGTGCCCGAAAGGCCACTTCTGGGAAAAGGCAGCTCCTCCTTCACACAACTGTAAGTAATCTTCCTGAATGTACTGCCGCCAACAGATGGTACCGGCTGAAACTGTGCAGACATTCCTTGCTGTTACGGTTTGTGCCCCCAAAGCGTCAGGCGGTCATGGGGTGGGCTACTAGAGTTTTTGGTTGATTCATGGTCCAATGCTGGGACTATGAGTGTGAGTGCTACACCCAACCCAGGGCTGGCAGCCTGCATACAATACAAGGGCAGGAAAGAGGCTTGCTCTTCCCGCCACTCCTCCCTTTTTGCTCTTGCAACTTTTGCTGTCTTCCACCACCATAAACTGTTGCCCTCTGCCATGTGCCACTCTGCCTTGGAGCCAACCAAGTATAGACTGAAACCTTTGCAGACTGTGAGCTAAATAAACTTTTCCTTCCTTAATTTTGGGCATCAGGTGTTTTGTCTCAGCAATGAGAGAAAAGTAACTAAGACTTTTTTTGATATTTTCCTGATTAACAACTGTTCAGACTTTACAGCCCGTCTTTCTTTCTTTCAGTTCTGTGCTTCTTGTTTATCAAACCTCAATGTCTTTTTTGTAGAGTTCACTTTGTGTCTACAGTACTGTGGTTTTTGCTGATTGCACTGCACAGTACAGTACTATAGTTTTATGTTCTGTTATACATTACAGTACTGCATGTAAGAGTTAAGCAAATAGGAGCAAAATCATCCAGTTGGAGTTTCCTTTGACCATTTCTTTGTTCTGAATATTGTAACATTCATAGTATATACAACTGACGACCAACTCAATTAACAACCTAGTCACGGGAGCAGAACTCAGTCATTAAACCTGAGTGTGTGTGAGGTTCACTTAATTAGATGCACGGGCTGCAGTGGAGCACCAGGCAGGCTGAACACGCAGCTCGTGACCAGTGCACCGACATGAGCCTGAGACTGGCCACAGTTGTGCTGGACCCTAGGTGCAGACTTGGTCTATCCCAGGCAGACCTGGAAATGTGATCACCCTGGCTCTGAGAAAGAAGCAGGCCCCGCCCTCCCACAGCAGGTTGGCGGCACAGTGCTGCCCCATCTGAGGTCGAACAGCAGGGCGAGGCTGGCAGCCTGCCTGCAATGGCAGGACCACGGCTCTCATCCTGGAGAGCAGCTCTGCCTCGGCACCATCTCGTTCTCAGGTCCCCTTCTCGGAATCATCCACAGCCGAAGCAATGGAAAGAGAGAGCAACTAGAGGGCAAGGGTTCAACCACCATCACTCTTGAGTCACTGCTAAATGTACGGGAAAAACGTAAAAGAACAGAAAAAACTGTGAGGCTGAAGGAGAGAGTTTTGCCAGAATCACTCAGAAGTAAATTACAGAAGCCAACACACTCACACATTTCCAGAAGTGCTGAGTGAAATAAGTGCGTGGATGCACAGATGCACATTCCCGGTGGAGAAGGAGCTCCTGGGCACCGAACGGGCGGCACCTGCCAGACAGCCGGGAACTCACGCTCAGGACCCTCCTGGCAGGGTCCACGAGCACCACGTCTAGGCTCTGGCCTGACATGAAACTCAGGGTGACAGTGCCTATTTTTGTGCAAAGCTGGGCCTCCCTGCTGGCTTTCTTGGCCTTGTCTGTGGGCAGGCAGAATTCCTTCCCCAGCACCTGGTAAATTTTAAGGAAGAGGGATAATTGCAGTTTCACAGATGGTTGGCCATGTGCCAGTGTCACAGCAACTAGAGAAGCAATAAAAAAAGACTTGTTCTTAAAATGAATAGTGTTCTAAATGAAATTACTAGAGAAAGAGGAAATGGGCTAAACACTGGAATAAACAAAACAGTCTCATTACGGGACTCCCTGCGAACTTTTGTTTGAATTCTCTAATGTAGTTTTTGGCCTCAAATGAGCTGTTAAAAGCTCCATAGGTCATGTGTGCATACAAATGGTTGAGTGCCTCACATAGAGGCTTTACGTTCCCAAGATTTTGCCTATCAGGCTGCATTTTAATGAAGAGGGAAACTGTCAGAGCTGGAGAACAACTTGGTGCGAGGGACTTGTAGTTGCAGACAGAGGCTCCGGTTTGCACTCCCTTTTCATTATAATCATGACATTTACACAGCAATGAAATCCATTTTCACTGTAGTCACAAACTGTAATACAGAACTTGAGTAGAGGAAACCATGGAGATCGCTTTGTTGACTGTCACTTGATGGCCTTTGAGCTCTTGAGGCCTGCAATGGTTGGCTTAGTTAGAAGGAAAGACGTCACCTGTGGAGCTACAGTTTTAATCGCCATTGGCAGAAGTCCTCAGGGGACAAACCCTCAGTGACAGCCTGACACGTGGCGGCTGGAAACCAGTGTGCGCAGGCAGACTCTCCCTCAGAGGGCGAACAGCCCGGATAAGTCATCCTTGTTAACGCTCCTATCCCAGCAACTCAGGACAGTGTTCTCTGCTACTCCTGCGCAACGCACCAGCACGGGGAAGGTCCTTGGGACCAGCTTCGCCGTGATCCTGCCCTGACCAAACGTGTGGCTAGCACTGTAACAGTCCACTCGGAACTGCTAAAGCCGGTGTGAGCACCCCCTGCTGCCCCCGAGCCCCGCCAGCTAAGGCTATGGGGAGACTGAAACCATCAGCAGGAGGTCAACCACTGGAGCAGCCAACAGGCCTCTCACACTTGTCTGAAACATGATCCATGAGTCCCCCAAACCCGTTCCTCCTCCCCTGCTCCCCACCACCTACGGGGACCCTTGGGCCGAGTGTCCAGATTCGTCCTGCCCCAGGAGGTGCTTGTGTGATGGGGAGTCTACGCCTGCTGTTAGGAGGCGATCTGGCTGGAGGGTGCATCTCCTGCCCACCCCTCCCTTCTCTGTCTGCCCCGGCCACCAGGGCCAGCGGAGCAGTGACTCAGCGTGCTGGGCATTACACTGGTGACGAGACCACCCCGGTGGAGCTGCTGCGAGGATCCAATGAAGCTGTGGAGAAAGTGAGGCACTTCTGTGCCAGCAAAGGCTTTGGACCTGGTGCGCCATCCGTTCCCGGCTCCGGGGATGGGTTTTCTCCCTGCTCTCAATCACGGGACCCGGCACCCAGGCATGGATACGGCAGCTGAGAGTTCACTGCAGCCAACGGCTGCGGGCTTTGACCTCCTGAGTCGTGCTTGGGAGGGAAGCAGACCGCCCAAGCCCACGCTGAGGGCTGCTCCCCGCGCTGCCTGGCGCCCCGCTGTGCCACTCGTTTCTCACCTACAAAGCTCAGTGGTGGCACCGAGGGTGGCAGAGGCTCAGACCCAGCGGACTTCACAGGCCTAGTGTGCAGTGCTCTCTCCAAGCCAATGCGGCGGGGGCAGCAGGCAGAATTCCCTGCCGCGGAGATCAGTGAGCCCAAAATAGAGGAACAACAACAACCAGGCTGTGGCTCGGGCACTAATGTGGAGTTTTTCCCAGCCTCTCCCCCGGGCAAGGAAGATCAGCACTGCTGCCAGATGCAGAAGGCTCCATCCACAAACTGCGACCTTGTCCTGGGAACTGCACTTTCCTAAAAGGCGGATCCACACGGGGCAGCAAAGCCAACCTTTATCACAGATGCTTGTCGGTATTTGCACACCCAATAGCAATTATGAAAATAAGTACTTACTAACATACACATCGTTATTCACAGGGAAGTCGGTTTGGAGCAGTGTCTTTCAGACTGCCTGACAGAACACACAGGGCCTTTACGTGAGCAGGACTGTTCGTTTCCTGGTGGGCTATCAGCCAGACTCTCTAGCTCAGTCCTCATCACAACAGCCGCGTCTTTTACTGGAACATCCCCGCCCTCTCCACAGCTCAGCTGACCAGCTCAGCCCCCCGACCCTCCACAGCCACTGCCATCCTCTTCCTCATCTGCCCCTCTGGGAGGCTGTTCTGCTGCTTGAAATCCAAGTCCCCATTCCCTTCCCCCGTAGCACCTGTGGATTTCACACTTTATTTGTTGTCTTTCTTTCTACCCTAGGCAAGAGTCTTGTCCATGCTGCTCTCTCCTTTATCCCAAGGAGGGATGGAGGGGTTGGGACAAGCATCCGCTGAATGAGTGGATACACTATTCATGAATGGACCAGGGAACATGACAAAAGCCCTAACGTGGCACACAAGGCCAGGAGGAAGGCCCTCTTCCTTGCTCTGTTTTGCTCAGACTTCAGTCAAACTGGCTTCCTGTTAGTGACCTGGCTCCCTCCCGCCCCCTGGTCTGACACCTGCTCTCTCTGCTGCTGGAATCTCCCTGTCCCCAAAGGAGAGCGGTTTTAACCCTCCTCCCAGTGCGTATGTGGACCCCAGTGGCAGGTTCAGTAGGCAGAGTTATAGAAGTACACGCTCTGAGGAGAGAGGAGGGGAGAGACAGACAGAGAGGCACCAAAGGTTTTGAAGGCGCCCTTCAGGATGGGAAATCTAAGATGTTCTGCCCAAGAGCGCCTTTGAAACTTTTGAATCTGTTAGCACATCTCAAAGTCAAGTTGCTCCCTTCCCGTTATCAGCAAGGACAGAGAGCATCTTTAAGAGGTTTGGCGTGATAGAAGAAGAAACAAGCAGATGAGCCCGGGTAGCAAGATCCAGACACCCACCTGAATGACCTCAGGTAACTGTGTCTTAGGTTGCAGTTTTCTTAGAAGTATGATTTTCCTTGTCTCCCTTCTACCTTTATCTCTATTGTTCCTCATCCCTTCCTCTCCTTTGCTGAGGAAACCGCACTCATCCTTCAGTGGGGTCTCAGAGCTGCCCTTCTGACTGCCATGTGGCCTCAGGCCTCATCCTCCTCCTGCCCTTGTTTTCATCTTGAAGAGCTGAAGAGTGACCCATGTCCACCACCCGCTGGCCCTGGAGAAGCCAGCCATGCAGTTGACCCACCGGCAGGGCATCTTGCCAGGGGTGCCACGAGCTCTGCTGACTGGAGAAGGAGGACCTACTGGACCTGCTCAATTCGCAAGGGGGAAAACTGGGACAGAGAAGGAAGAGGTTTCAGGGACATGGACTCCAGCTCAACGCAGACCTGGGCTTCTGGAACTCAGAACTGATCCTGAAGCACAGCCTGACTCCGTGGGAGTGGGGCCCCAGAGGTGCAGGTCCTCCACCTGGGCTCCAGGGCAGGGACACGCAGTGGGGAGAAGGGTGACCCAGCAAGCTGGGAAGAAGGCAGGGCCTCCCGCTCACCTGAAATCTGTGTCTCCCTGGATTTGGGATGCAAGGGCTTTTACTACCTGGCCCGGTGACAGGGCACAACACGGTGAGACAGCACAGAATCTGTGTTCTGGGGATGGGGATGGGGTCTCCAGGGCAGAGCACACATGTGGGCCTCGACCTCCCACCCCCTCTCCTGGGACCCTTCTTGTTAACATAGAGGCATCACTTCTCCACAAGTCCATTCCTAGGGGCTGGTGAGGAGGGGCCTCACGTCAGGAAGTAAACTATGGAAAGGGGACATCGGGCCAGACCTGTGGTGCTTGGGCTGTCTCGGGCTGGGGAGTCAGCCTCTGGGTTTCTCTCTGGACTCTCCAGACTTGTTCCCTGCTTTGGAAGGCCGAGTGTGAATTTCCAGAAGAGAAACCACGAGCTTCAAATGGAACATGCAGGTGCAGCGCTGCATGTGTCTGCAGATCCTCCACCAGACTGTGAATTCTGCAAGCCGGGAAGACTCCCAAGTAGTCGTTTCACTGGAAGCAGCAGAGACAGGGTCTGAGCAGAAAGTAAAAGGGAAGTTCACTGGAAAGCTCTCCCTCTTTGAGGTACAGTTTTAATAACCTGTACTCTCATGGCACCACCTTCGATGCCTTTGAAAGAAAAAACCTGGCACATGGTCCCTAGGAAGCAACTATTTTATAAACACAAATTGTGTTTAAAATATATTAAGCACCAGCTCCAAAGTTACAGGGAAGTGAAAAAATACTTCGGACCAATAGACTCAGAGTCATTTACCCAAAACTGGGCACAAGAGAATTTTTAAGAGAAGTTGTAGAAATAAATGCTCTCATCCTTGACACCACGGTTGCAACTTATTTTCAAATTATGTAAGTACAAAAATTAACTGATAAAAAATTTCCTGAACATGATATGAAATGTTCTTATTCCCTAGTTCTCTGGAACTAAGTACAATATACACTCTACAAATGACAAAGTCTGGAAGAAACATGAGTGTTCTCTTACGCTAATGAAACAAACTGTTACACAGCAGTCGTAGCAGGTCCCAAATCCAAGAGGCTGGTACTGAATCTTTTCCTTAAAGGACAAAGTAAAATGGAAAAAAAAAAAAAGAAAGAAAGAAAGAAAAAGAAACTTGAGAATGAGAAAGATTTCCTCATCATAAGAACTGAATTTGATTATCTTCCAGCAGTACTGATGAGAAGACACTGAAAATTTATCAACTGACTTTCATGATAAAACAACTCTCATATTGAAAAACAGGGTTTTGGAAAAGACTTAAAAACTCTAAGATGTAAAATGGACTTAGTTGCGTCCTTGTGGTTGCTTCAATGTCTTGAATCAATTCCAAAGCTTTACCTCATGGTCATTTTGACTCTGGGGAGGAGCCAGAAGTTGCACAGTGCCAGACCGGCGAATAAGGTGGACGAGGACGCACTCGAGGTCTTGCGAACCCGCCTTTCTGGTGGATGGCACTTGGCGGCAGCATTCACCACACATTTGATCAGATCTTGTAAAGATACTCCTGAGAAAAGACTTCCAGAACTGCTTCCGAAAGTGACAAGAACAGTGGAATACATGTGTTTGAAGCAAGGGGAATATTTCAAGGAGGTTAATGGCAATGTGTCTTTTACTATAATACATTTTTAAATTTAAATACACACCATATTTTTTGATTGGCCCTTGTGCTGTTCGTATATCAGTATTCCCCTCAAACAGTTGCAGATCTTGCTGGAGATGATCATCTTCCAGAGTAAATAGCACAATAACAAGCTTGTGGAAATCAGGGTGCATGAAAACATACCATTGTGGGTTAGATCTAAGGTGTCCCCCGAGGTCTCACGCGTTCAGAGGTAGCACTTCTGTACCAAGCTTGCCCCATGGGGATTCCATACTCCTCAGTGGGCTAACCTATTAACCTACTGACAAGCTTACAATTGTTGTTGGGAGGGTACATGGCTGGGGGTGGGTGGCTGGGTGGGCCCTGGCAGGGTGTATTCTTGCCCTGGCTCTGCCCTTCTTGCTCTGCTTTGTGGGCACCCAGAACTGAGCAGGTTTCCTCCACTGCATCCTTCTGCCGTGCTGTTTCTGCCGGGAGGCAGCAACCATGGACTGAACACCCTTGTACCACAAGCTAGACTGAACCTCTGCTCCTTTAAATTGCAAGTGCTGGGTATTTTGTCCCACGGATGGAAAGTGACAAATTCGTAAGTAATGGGAAAACTTTTTAAAAATTTCTAACATCCTTCATAATGTCCTCATGTTCTGGCCTCAGAACTCTTCAGAATTTCTAGAATTAGGATATCAGAATGGCACCTAGCTTCCTGTTTTCTGACACATGGGCTATGAATGGCTCAGGAAGAGTGAAACACAAGGGCCACACTAAAAGCTTCGTGCTAGCCACTATTCCAGCCTCTCCCCCACAAAGTGTTCTTCCAGAGGGCCTGATAAGTTGGCAGATGTGAGTTTGACGCCTCTTCCTTCTTCAGTCTGCTCGACATTTCCAGAGAACAGGGAAATGCAGAAGGTCAACAGTCAAGAGCTGGCTGCAATTTCTGCATCCTCTTCTACCTCTTAAGAGGCTGACTTAAGGGTCACTTGATGTTGCACACAAGGGCATCAGATACTGCAGTTTCCTCTGGGGAAAACAATGTGAGTACACAGTGTAGTCGATCTCATTCCCAGGTGTTGGTTCCTAGGCGAAGAAGACATCTGACCTGAAAGTGGAGGATAAAGAGAACCAGGTAGCACCATAGTTTGGGGCCAAAAAAATGTTGGGCTCATAAACAAAATAATAGCAGCAGGTTAGGAATCAATTGTAAAATACCTGAGATATTAAATGAAGACTGTCCTTTGCATAAATGTGGAGAACCTCTAAAACAACCATAAAAATAAGAATTAATTAGAATTTTAATACAGTAAAAGCAGGGATGGTAGTTTTTAGAAAATGGGAGTATAAGGAATTTTTTGTTTGGGGGTTTTAATTATTATTCTTATTTAATTTTATTTTTTGTAGTATATGGCTCCATGCACAATGATTGTGTTCCTTGTGAGAAGTTGGTCCAAGAGCGTAACACATCTTACTTCCTTTTTTCATCCCAGTCCCCTCCTCACCCTATCTACTCCATCGCTTGGTCCCCTCCCTTTTACAAAAGCTCTGTCTCACGGTTTCCTATCATCTGTCTTTTATTTTGCTCTTTAATGTATTTATACTTTGGGTATCACGTAAGAGAAACCGTGGGATACTTAAGCTGGCATGTCTGATTTATTTCACTTAGCATTATGGTCTCAAGGTGGATCCATTTTCCTTCAAGTGACCCCAGAGTATCCTTCTTTATCGGTGAGTAGTCCTCCACTGCATATAAATACCACATTTTCTTTATCCAGTCACCCGGCCAACAGGAGAGTTGAGAAGAAAAGTTTCCACTTCATAATGTACTCGCGTCAGCCAGCTTTGCCACACATCACGCTCTCTGGGAAAACATTTTGTGAGGAAAAGGCTGGAGTACTGACCAACGGGAAGCTTTTAGTGTGACTGGGTATTTCACTCTTTCTGAGCCATTCATATACCATGTGTCAGACAACAGGCAGCTGGGTGCCATTCTGGTATCCTAATTCTGGAAATTCTGAAGGGCTCCGAGGTCGGAACACGAGAACATTATGAAGACACGAGTACGCGAGAGCAGGCGGAAGGCCGCCCAGTTGCTGGGGCCTCCTGGTGTAACGGCCGTGTTCAGACTCACTACATAGGAGGAGAGGGGCAGTGTGGCCTTGCGGTGGCTTCTTCTGCAGTGCAGTCCTGTGGTTCTGCTGACTGCACTGTCCAGGGGATTCATGTTCTGCTCTACATTACAGTGCTGCATTAAGAGTCATGCAAATCAAAGCAAAGTCATCAAAAAGGAGTTTCTTTTGACATTTCTTTGACCTGAACATTATAATCTATTTACTATACACAGCTCCTCATTTAGCGGCCAAGTTAACTAAGGCTCTAGTTGCAGGAGTGGGACTTGGTCCTTAAATGAAGAATGCCTATCCCCCAATGGCCACTGGACCAAGCTCCACTAGACACCGCAGCTAGCCGTAGGCACTACTCCTGAGACATGCTTCCACTGACTCTACACTGCTGTGTGGTCTACATGTCTACAGTCTACTCGGGACCATTTTAGGGACAGAGTGGGGACAGAAGAGAGGCACAGAGAGGGAAGGAAGGGAGGGAAGAAGGAAGACAGGCAGAGGAGAGCTTTGAAATTCTTGGCCCATTCAATCGCATATATCTGACCAAGTCACTCCCAAAAGGTGAGGGTAAAACTCACTCACTTTTATGTAACCAAACTGATAGCTCTAAATAAGTAAGTAACTGTGGGCAAAATATCACAGTGTGAATGCATGTACTGTTACTGAATTATGTACTTAAAGTGGTTAAAATGGGAAGTTTCTTGTTTATATATTTTACCACAAAAACAACTAATGCTCTCCATTAAGATGAAGAATATTCTGTAGCTCTAAATAAGTCTTAAGCTCCTTAAAGGAAAGACCTGTCTCACTCATCCTCGTGATGTATGCTCCACTTCGCCAGAACAGAGAACATGAAAATGCACACACCAGCCATTCAATACGTGTTTCTTGAGTTCCTGGTAGACACAAGGAGACGTTATGTGTAGGCTGTTGCTTAGGTATGTGATTTGGGCGTCTGAAAACTTGGCACAAGTAAGTGTCCCACACCATTCATGCTAACTGAGATGCCTATCAGTTTGTTGGGTTAGCCCATGCTAAAGGTAGACACCCTAGAAGAGGAACATTTCCAGAACCACCACTGTTAAAGCCACCCAGCGAAGAGTGTGCCTTGGAGGGAGCTGTGCCAGCCAGCTTGTGCTGAGGCTGAAGCTGGGATGAGAAGGGAGATGCTATTTCAGACAGGCCCATTATAGAACATGGCCAGACGGGCTGCCTCCAAGCTGCCATTTGTGAGCCCCCGGATGGAGAGGCCCCAGACAGCGGAGGAAGGGATGCTGGAGTTCTGGAAGGTATTTCCGTAGAGGAGGGCTGAGCTGCTTTCTCCCCAAAGGAGCCTGGAGTCACACCAAAGACTAATCGTAGGATTTAGAGCAGGAAGGACTCTTAACAGCCACGGAATTCCACACCCTCCCTTACAACTGCACAAGCAGAGGCGCAGGACAGGGCAGCTGGGGCAAAACCAAGAGAAGGCCGCGCCAGGCTGGTGCCGCATCCACCACACCCTCGGGAGGCGCTTCCACCACGCGGAAGGAGAGTCCCACCCTCCTGCCTCGCACCTGCCTGTCTGGGAACACCGAGGTTTCCCGGAGCAAGGGAGCGCTCCGCGCATGCCGGGTGGCCAAGCTGCAGACTGCATCGGGTGAGAATCCCACACTGCAGAATAGCGGCCTGCGTCTTTCCCTGATGGGGTGGACTGTGTACTTTGTAGAAGGCACTTGGCAGCCCTTGCCGCTATGTTGCCAAGAAGAAAACCTTCACCGCTGTTTCCACTCATGCACGAATTATTCTAATTTCACAGGTAATAGAAAGCTACCGTGGGGGTGCAGCCGGCCAGGGATGAGTGGGGCTCGAAACGTGTGTTGGGCCACTTGGCCAATCATATGAAGTCTGTCACCCAGCTGTACCACCATCTTCCCTTCACCAAGCCCTTGCTTCCCTTCCAAATGCCCTGGCCGCATTGCCCTCTTCTTCAGGAAGTGTTCACTGCAGCGCCATCCCACCCTGTCACCCAGGCGGACGGTCGTGGAAACTTCATGAGGACAATGTCTATCAAAACTCGCACAGCCAATCAATGACCCTAACGTGGATTTACACAGGAAGGGGACTCTGTGGGCTGGGACGGGGAGACTAGAAAGGCCTGCAAGGAAGAGTCCAGTTCCTGTCAGCTAACAGCGTGTCACAGCAGCCTTGGGTGAGCTTCATGTCTGTTGACGTTATTTAATTCATGGGCAAAATATCTACCTTGTGCTCACCCTTGATAGAGACAGCGGCAGAGACAGAAATCTTATTATCTCTGAAACTTCCTTGCCTGAGATAGTGCCTACATCCAGAGGACTGACAATCGAGGGGAAACGTGTCACACTCGCGCACCTCTCATCCATGTAGATGTCAGAGCCATCCGTGTTCCAAGTCTTTACACAAAAACGGGCGGCTCTACTGAGGCTCTTGTGCTTCCTGCCTGTCCCAGAGCACTGCTGGCTTTTGACGAGAAGTTTAGGGTTTGCCCCACGTGATAACAGAGGAGGCCCCTTGGGCGGCTCAAATGGAAGGCAATTGAAACACCATGCAGCACGCTGTTGGAGGCCAAGGCAGGGAGCTGGGACATAGCAGCCACGCTGCTGGGAGAAGTCACACAACACAGGTCATCTCGGGAGATTTTAAAAACACTCTTCAGGGTAGAGATAAACACAGGTCTGCCAAGAATCCTGGGCCTGGTGGGAGTCAGTATCACCCAATCTGAAGGATGCAGAGGCCAGGGCAGAGGGGACAGCACCCCACAGTGACCGTTACATGCACAGCTCCCTGCAGCGCCCCGCCACATCTTCGCAGGAAGCTCACGCACCCTCACCTGTTTGTCCTCACTGACCAAGTTCCTAGTCAGGGTCACCACTGGAGCTTTTATCCGTGGGGTGGGTATTTAGGTAAAATACATAAAACTTATCACTTTGACAATTTCCAGGTATTCAACTCAGTGGCATCAAGCACATCCATGTTATTGTACAACCATCAGCACACAGACACCCAAAACATCTCAGCATCATAAACAGCAACCCAGCCCTTAGACAAGCACTCCCGGTTCCCCGGCCCTGGCCCCCTCGACGGTCTCTGTGAAGACATCTGCTCTCACAAGCCGTACCTCAGGCAGGTCCCTTTGTCCCTGCCTCGCTTAGAACAACGTTTTCCAACTTCATCCATTTGGAGCATGTGTTAGAGTTTTGTTTCCTTTCAAGGCTTAGTGACAGACCACTGCCTGTACCTGCCACACTCAGTTCTTCACTGACCTGCTGGTGGACACGTGGGCATTGTCCACCTTAGGGCTACTGTGGCTAAAGCCGCTGTGAACTTCTGGGTAGCCATGGAAGCATGTGAAGGGAGGAAACTCACCCTTGTATGGGTCATGGTGTAGCCAGGAGACAGAAATCACACCGTGACTCAGAGCAAATTCTCACCTAAGCACATGGAAAGTCAGAAGAGAATAAGCAAGGGGGAGGTAGGAAGGGTTGAAAGCAGCTGCACGCTGGCTGCGGGGGAAGGTTGGGGTTACTGAGACACACAGCCTGGGGAAGACACTCGTGGCTGACCCAAGGTCAGCCTGCACTGGTGCCTCTGGGCACGAGGAGAGGACTGTGGGACTGGGGCCCATGCTCTGAAAGGGCCCTGCCTGCTGGTGCTGGCGTCTCTCAGCAGGAGAGTATGACCACTTCCCTGGCTTTGGGAGACTCCAAACCAGATTCAGGGATTCCAAGAGAATGAGGAGGTAGGTGAAGCAAGGAGGGAGTGACTCCAGCAAAGGCAGGAAGTAGACACGAAGCTAACAGGAAGCTGACAGGAAGCAAATAGGAAGGGCCAAGGTATTCTCCTTCTCCACAGCTGGGCTCTTCCTGTGAACCACTGCCAGAGCCTGCACAGGTAGCTGAGGAGGAACGTGGGAAGGAGGCTCCCAGCCCCAGGGCCACACAGCAGAGCACAGAAGGATGAGCCTGCAGCTGAGAGAACTCAATACTGGAACAGACAGCAGTGTGGAAACCCAGCAGTGTGAAGGAGGTGAGTCTGGGGCCATGAAGACAGTGGTGTGGGGTGAGCTCCTGGATAGGCAGTCCTGGAGTGAGAGTCTCAGTGTGACACCCCACGCTCAGAAGAGTCACTCACAGCCCGTCTATCCTGTGCAGCCCCATCCTCAGATCATGACTGAGGCATCCAGGGGGATCACCTAACTCAGCAGGGTTCAGATTGTTTGTCTGCTCTGTAGAATCTGTAAAAGACCCACGTGGGAACTGAACCTGCAGACCCCTGCTGTGGGGGCCGCTGGAGCTGAGAGGGCCCCTGTTTATCACTGTCCAACTCCAGCTATGAGTCCATGAGACAACCCAGGAGCTCCCAATAAATTCTTCCTGTCTTTAAACTACCAGAGCACTTTCTGTTGCTTCGTATTTCTCTAAGCCCCGGAGTTTACATTCCAGAGACGTTTGAGACGCCGTGAGAGTATCACCACGCACAGCTGCTAAGAGCTGTCAAGGAGCAAGGCGGAGGCAGCAGACGGCACGAGCGCCATGCAGGGCACCCCAGCCCGCGGGCCAGGACCCAAGCAGCAGGCAGAACCACAGCCCGCAGCTGGCGGGGTGCAGGGAGCCGCATGTGCAGACACGGGGGTGACGTGAAGGACGGAAGCAGTTCACACCACTGGCCTGAAGAAGTGGACGGGGAGGAGGCCATGATCGGGGCGGCTGACTGACGGCCACACGCCTGCGCTCTCCAGCCCTGCTAGGGAGGAGCTCATTTAGTGCTCACGCTGACCCAGTGAGGTAGTTGGCGTGGTCAGGGTCTCGTGAGCTTGTACACATTTTATAAAATGAGCTTTGACAGAGTTCTTCTGAACGGTTTTAAAAGTTGTCAGTAGGGCAAATGGCCTGTACAGATAGAGCTTACGTCTCATCTAGAAGAGGGCGATCTTCCACTGTCCATTATGACTACATAATGTTTCCTGCTGGGGCACAGTTCATGCAGGTTTGCTCGTAGCCATCCAGAGAGCCTGGAGTCCTGGTGCAGAGCCCGTCAGCTTCGGTGTGCTCCGCTGGTGTGCGGCTCTGGGCCGCGTCACCAGGGCCCCTGAGACACAGAGCCGGTCATAGCGGGCCCCTGCTGTCTGCCGCTCTGAGTGTGGAGCTCTCTGCGAGAGCCCGGAGTCTCGTGTCTTCACACCCGTGAAAGCACGGCCAACTGACCTGCAGGAAGGAGACGGCCCAGGCTCCTCCACAGCCCTGGACGAGAATTACCTGTTTTTCCTAAGGGTAAATGGAGAGTCGGGGAGGTTTAGTTCTTTATCCACACTAGGGAGGAAGACGATGAGGATGCAAACTGAGGCGGGAAAGTGCTCAGGCGTCCATGGCTAAGACAGCGGTGAGGCCGAGGGCAAGAAGCAGAAGTCACACAGGACCACTCAGCAGGGTACAGAGCCCAAGGGTTGCTCCGATAGCAACGAGCAGTCCGGCAGCTCGAGCGGGCCAGCTGCCGCGGTAATCAGACTTCAGCATGAGCGCTGTGCTCAAAATACAGAGCGAATGCTGACATTTTAACAAATCTCTTACAGTAAGTGACGCACCGCCGTGAGTCACGATCAAGTCCTCCCTCTCACTTCAACACACCCCTCCCCCGTCCCCGCCACTTCCTGAGGAAGTTCTGGAAATCCTCTTCCCTGAGTGCCTTTTGCTGTGCTGGCGTGGCTGTGACAATGTCCTAAATCAGTTCAAAAATATTTATAACAATTTCTGTCAAATAAAAACGTGACAGTGTGTCTTCATCCACCTTGTTCACTGGCTCTGGCACCATTGACTTCTAGCTCTTCCCCCAAAGTCAAAATGACCAGAAAGGTCAACGTTTTTAATCAGTTCAGGACATGTAGCCAGCTGCAATAGGGAAATTAAAGACATGAGAGAGGACTTCCAGAACTGCGTTAGAAAGGGGCAAGGTGGTATTTACACACAGTGGAGTGCTACTCTGCCATAAAGAAGGATAAACGAGTCATTTGTAGGCAAACAAATGCACCTTAGGCCATCATGTTAAGTAAATAAATCAGATGCATGAGTTTAGATATTGCATGGCTTCTCTTATATGAGAAACTTAAAATATAAATAAAGAGAAAAGTAAAATATATGCAAATGGGCTAGAAAGGAGAGACGGCCAAGTGTTTCCCTGAGAGGGGCCGTGCTTTCTACAAGCCAGTGCCCCTGGAGGAAACGTGGGTGTAGCCAAGGGAGCCGCTGCGCACGCTGCGCACCACTGCCCTTCTCTCCCCACGCTGGGAGGCCACACAGACCCCGGCTCGCACGCTGCGCTTTGGAGGTGGCAGGGTCACACGTCTGGGTGATCTCAGCATCCGTGAGTGACCCAAGGGAACACCACCAGCCTGTCACCGTCCATGGGGAACGTGGCCTTCACGGGGGAAGAAGGTCTTCCCTGAATCACTCATTGTCTTATTTGCTCTGCTCTGACCTTGTTGTTATTTTATTTTTAAATTAGTCCATGTTTATATTACATGTGTTGGAGCTGGCACATGAGCATAGCACACCTTAATTCCTTTCCTCCCCCCACTTCCCCTCCCTCAGTCTCTTGATCCCTTTTCCACTTGCAAAAGATCTCTCTCCCTGTTTCCCATTATTTATCTTTTATTTTGCTCTTTATATTTTGGGTTTCTTATGTAAGAGAAACCATGTGATACTGAAGCTTGTGTTCCTGATTTATTTCACCTAACGTTATGGACTCAAGGTGCCTCCACTTTCCCCCAGATGACTCAAGTTTACCTTTGCATGGCAGAGGGGGCCTCCATTGTGGGTAAACACAGATATTCCTTGATTAACGACGTTTTGGACTCGCAACCTAGCATGCTATTTAATTTACAACGCACCACTTGGACTTATGACACATGGTTTTTTTTTTTTTTGTACAGTTCTGTGCATCTTGTTTGTAGAGCCTCAGTGTCATTTTTTATACACTACACCTTGTTTATGTACTATGATAATTTTTGCTGATTGTACTGTATAATATAGTACTGCAGTTTTATGTTCTGTTGTACATTACAGTGCTGCATGTAAGAGTTATGCAAATAAAAGCAAAGTCACCCAGCTGGAGCTTCCTTTGACCATTTCTTTGTTTTGAATAATGTAATGTACACACTACACACAGTTCCTCATTTTGCAAGTGATTCCTTTAACGACCTAGCCACAGGAAAGGAACTCAGCTGTTAAACAGGAATGTCTGTACCACATTTTCTTTATCCATTCATCTTATTTTTCTTTTTTTAAGACAGGGTCTCACCAAGCAGTTCAGACCAGCCTTGAATTCACTATGTAGCCCAGGTGGCCTTGAACTTGTAGCCGTCCTCTTGCCTCAGCCTCCCAAGTGCTAGGATTGCAGGCGTGCGCCACCACGCCTGGCTTTATCTATTCATCTCTTGATGGACAAGCGATGAATGGACAAAGGCTGCTTTCAAGATTTAGGTGTTATGAATTTTGCTGCTATAAATGGGATGTGCATGGATCACCGTACATGATGTCTTTAACTCCTTCAGGAAGATACACAGGAGAGGAATAGCTGGAATAAATGGTAAAATGGAATTTCTAGTTTTAGTTTTCTGAGGAATCTCCATACTGATTTCCGTGGTGATGGTACTACCAGTCTACATGCCCACCAGCAATGTGGAGGGCTCCTCTGCCGCCACACCCTCGTCAGCATTTGTTACTAGTTGATTTGTTGGTGGGGACCGTTCTTTCTAGACTAAGATGGGCTTTCAGTGTTGTTTTAGTTTGCATTTCCTTAACGGCAGGAGATGTGGAACATTTTCTATGTATTTATTGGCCATTTGTACTTCTTTAGGTGCCTATTTTTTATTGGATTTTCTTTTATTTTGAAGAGTCTAACTTTTCTGAGTTTTTTACATATTCTATATATTAGCTCTCTGTCGGAGTAATAGCAGGCAAAACCTTTCCCCATTCTGCAGGCTGCCTCTTCGCTCGTTGGTGGTTTCCATCTCCGTGCAGAAATGTTTGCCTGTGATACAATCCCATTTGTTGGTTCTTGGTGCTACTTCCAGCGCCACTGGAATGCTGTTCAGAAAGCCCTTGCCTGGGCTCCCCTTGAAGAGTTTTACCTAATTCATCTCTAGCAAATTGTTTCTGTTTTAACCTTTAGATCTTTGATCCATTTTTATTTTAGTTTAGTGCACAGTAAGATATGGGTCTAGAGTCAATCTTCAGCATATAGACAGCCAGTCTTCCCAGTACTATTTATTAAAGGAGCCATCTTTTCTCTAGTGTATGTTTTTGACCCTTTGTCAAAGATCAAACAGCTGAATGTGCCTGGAGCTGTTTCTGCATCCTCTGTTCTCTTCTGTTGATCCATATGTCCATTCTTATGCCAATATCGTATCACTGTAACTTTCTAATATAACTTCAAAGTTGGGGCTGTGATGCCTTCTGCCTTGCTCTTGTTGCCAGGATTGCTTTTTCTACTTTGGGTCTCTTCTGGTTCCAAATGAATTTGTGGATCGTTTCCTCAGTTCTGTGAGGAATAACCATATTCAGAAATGTAGCAGGATACAAAAATCAGCTCACAAAAATCAATAACCTTCCTGAACACCAATTAAGATCTCACCGAGAAAGAAATTAGGAAAACAATGTCATTCACAAAAGCGTCAAGAAAAATTAAATATTTACAATTTAAATAACCAAGAAAGCAAAAGACCTCTACAACAGAAACTGCAGTACTCAGAAAAAGGAGATTGAAGAGGACACCGGGAAGCAGAAGGATACCCTCAGTCACTGGGTAAGCAGAGCCAGTATTGTAAAACGGTCACACTTTCAAAGCTGGAACACAGACTTAATGCAAAGCCTTACCTCTGGGTTTGTCGTCACTGCGCTTCAGTCTGCCCTGGCCAGCTCAGAGGTGTTCCGGGAGCTAAGCTGGACACAGTACAGATGTGTGAGACATGTGCAGGCCCTGCTGGATACACACAGTCATGCGGGCCTGTTTTTACAGGGGGTGGAACTTCAGAAGAAATGAAAACACGCAAGAGGGGTGCAGGTGCCAGCACACATATAAACCCGGCTCCAGCCACCGTGGAAAATGCTCAGATCTGCTCTTGGCAGTTAACAGCACGTCTGTAAACAACCCCACGCTCCAGAGCCACGAGGCGCCAGGGGCACCAAGGCCATTAGAAGTCACGGTGCGTGAGTTCGCTCCAGCTGTGTGCACAGCCGCGAGTGAGTGGCCTGAGCACCCTCCGAGAGTCAGCCCTCAGCCGGGCACTGGGGATGTGGCGATAAGCTGGAGTCTGCCAGAAACAAGCCCAAAAGGTCTTCGAAGGGAGGCGTCACGGGCTTGGGACCACGGCGAGGGGAAAGAAGAGGTTTAAGGCGCCTCTTCACGTTCTGAGAGAGAACACAGGGCATGAGCTGTGCGGAGGCTGGGTGGAGATGCAGGAGGCTCGAGCAGGAGGGGAGAGGAAGACCCTGCCCCTCGTGCCGCAGAGCCACGTGGGCAGCGGACAGACACACGAGACAGCTGTGGGAGGAGATGAGGAGGGGCGCGGAGGGGCCACCTCACCCAGAACTGCGGTGCTGGACAACCTGGTGCTCAGCAAGACAGTGGTGTCTAGGCGGACATCAGCTTGGAAGAGGGGGAAGGGAGGCTGCAGACGGTCAGGGGGAGGGTGTGGATGCTTCTCTGTCTCTCTGTCTCTCTGTCTCTCTGTCTGTCTCTGTCTCTCCCTCCCTCCCTTCTGCCCTTCTCCCCTGCTGCCCTCCCTCCCTTCCCCCTCTTCTCTCTGACTTGTCCATATTGAGGAGTTTATACTTTATTCCTAAAGTCCTTAGAAGCCATTCAGGTGTTTCAGAGTCTGACAGGAAGGATGTCCCTGGCAGCAGGGAGGATCAGGTTACACGGGGAGGAGGAAGAGGATGGGGGCGAAGGAGGAAGGTCACAGAGCGGCCCCTCTGCCCTCCCCCCAGGCCAGGAAGGACCGAGGGCTAAGATGAGACCACACGCTGAAGGCTGACCCTGGGGGACTAGTTACACGTGGACGACTGCTAAATGAAGCCCCGGGAGCAGAGCGGAGCTGGAAACTTCAGACACCAGAGGGCAGAGTCCAGTTGAACTGTGAGTGGAGACGAGTCATCTGAAGCTGTGGGACAGCGGGACTGAGCAAGGTCTCTCCACGGGGTGCCCAGGGAAGGCAGCTGGGGCAGGCGGCGAGACTCCTCAAGGTGTAGCTGACAGGAACTCGAAAGCTGGGCAAGTTTCAGCATCTGGAAAAAATATAAAATGGCTGGATCCTCCCAGGCACACAGGCCCCTTCCCGTGAAGCTGGGATTCAATTAAGCAGTTTAAAGGCTAGTCTATTTCAGTTGACGTCCTTTTGCCTTTGGAGTCCAATGCATTGAAACTGCAGTGCTTACCAAGCTGTCACAGCATCTCTGACCATGTACAACTGGAGACTAAAATAAAAGACTGCAAAGGAAGAAAAAGAAGCTAACTAAAGAAAGAGAAAGACTTGCTGAGTCCTAAGCACCTACCTTCTCCAGGGGTGAGGGACCAGAGCCGCCCTCGGTTCGGGTCAGGTGTCTAAACTGCGGGAGGGAGGGCCGCACCTGACCCTGAGAGCGCCTGGTCAGACACACGAACTTGGCATTTATGGGTGTTAAAAAAAACAGAGGATGTATTTTTCAAAGCAACCTGGCCTACAGAAAGGTGTTTTCTGGAAATTCAGGGAAAACCTTGAAGATGTCAAAGCCAGCTTCCCATCTAAGAGAGCAGAGGGCCGAGCCACTCCCAACAAGCAGAGCGAGGGTCTTGGCCTGTTGGCAGCCCTGGGTTCAACGCCAGCGTCAGACATAAGAAATCACAGACCCGCACACACACACTCACACACACAACACACATATGTACACACATCATAACACACACATGCGCACACCACACTCTCACACATATGTACATATATACACATACATACTCCACACACTCACACACACATCCATACCACACACTGTCATACACACCACGTACACACACCACACACAGTCACACACATACTACACACATTCTCACACTCACACCACACACACACACACACACACACACCCCACACATATACACACACTCACACAGGGAGCAAGCCCTTCGTTTGTGGTAAAAAGCCTGATCAACACCTTCCCCTGCTGGCACATCCACTCCAAGAATTGCCTGTAGACCAGAAGGCCTTGGGTTCAGTTCTGTGTATGTTTCAGGCAGCATGACAGATCCTACCAAGCAGACTGCTATCCTCCCTCCCAGAGCCTTGAGCACTCTAAACCCAGTCGATCTGCTCTCTGCTGTCACCCTGAAAGGGAGTGAAAGGAAAAACCCCTGGGGCACCCTCTAATGGGGGAGAGAGGGGGTTTCTGCGCCAGGGAGAAGGCCAAGGACACAAGACCTGGTATGTGCGCCAGTCTCCCCCAGCACCAGCCCAGAAGATGGCCACGAAGAGCCAGTCCCAGACCGGGGCTCTGGGAACCACAGGCAGGCGTGTTTGCGCCAGCAAATCACAAGCAGCGAACTTTGTTTATCTGCACTGATGAAACTCGTCTTGGCCCCGATACAAAACCTCACTAGGAATGTGCAGGGCGCTCCAGGCTGGTAGGCTGTGTTGCTTGGGAGCAAAAACAAAGGCTGACTTAATGCCCAATCAGCCAGCCAAACTTGCGGTTTGAGCCCCTGCGAGATGACTCCGCATGCCGGTTCCAACACAGGCAGCCTTGGCCGTCTTCTCCTCCGCTCTCTTTCCTCCGGGTCTTTTACAGACAGGCATCCCAAGAGCGTACACCTAACAGGCCACCTTATCCAGGGCTTAAAATTCAACATCCCACTCTGCCTTGGGTGGGCTGTGACTGCGGCCGTCTCTCCTTTCTGTGCCAGCTGCTACTTGGAGCTCCTGGTTGCAAAGCAGAGCCTGCTGTACCCAGCTCAGAGAAAACCTCTCGGGGTGCTGGGCCCTTTCCCAGGGTTGGGGGCAAACCCAGGCATGCAAGTCCACCTTGAGCAGCCAGGAGCTGAAAACGCCAGGCATAGCCCCAAGCACAGCACTGCGTCCAGGACCCCCAGGGTGCCCCTGAGGGCTCTGCCGGCCTCTACCCAGCTGTTCAACAGGAAGCAACAGCGTCAGGTAGGGTCGCTGGCAGCAGCTTAGTTGGAGGAAGGTGGGAAGTGACCCTAGCTCCTACGTTAGGGAGCCAGGGCGGAGTGGGACGTCCCTGCATGGGGACCGACTGGGTGTAAGAGAGTGGCAGCAGAAGTATGGCACGGCCTCCACAGCACCAGCCTCTTCTGTCCTGAAAGCCGCCCCGTTCACAAGATCAGACATGACAGGGTAATCACTGATGGAATCTGCTGGTTTGGGACTGACTTACACCGCAGAATAAACTCCAACCTCAAATGAATGCATCTGCCATTCTTCATCGTCTGAGCTATGCCCAACACGGGTCTGAGCTTCAAGATGAAAGCATCTCAGTCAGCCTGAGTAGTTTTTCATCCGGCTACACTGCTGAGAACTGCTTGGTACCAGATCAAACAGAAACCTTCTTCCTCTGTCAAGTCGTCTGCATTGCATGAACATCTGCTTCTATTTACATGTCCCTCTTCTGCCCCTGAGAAAATGTGTTCTTCAAAACTGCACTCAGAAATCAGACCAGTCCCTAAATCAGGGGAAGAGCCGTGGAAAACATGCCCATCAGGTGCCTGGGTTAAACTGGAAGTGAATAAAATGTAACTGAAGTACTTTCTAGCATCGCAGGAATGCTCATGAATTAAAATGTGCCCATCTCCACTAATGGTCTATCATCAGCTACACAGGAAGACACTACAGTTAATCTTAGTGTAGCTGGGAATGAGAAAGGTACATCAAGTAACTCCACAGTATTTAACACTGTTCTGGAGGCTGAGATCTAATGGAATGAGGTAAAAATATAGATGCTAGGTGAGAGAGAGGGAAAATTAGAATCAGCATTTTCTTATGATGTAATTTTATCCCCCAAAATTAAGAGACAAATCACTTTATAAAGACTAATAAATCAATGGCTTGACATACACAAGAGGTACAGTGGGGGAAAACTTCATTATAATAAATGCAAAAAAGGTAATAGGACAAAAATATAAATGGAACAAATTAAGAGCACATATATAAATTTTATGAGGACAAAAACCAAGGCATAAAATCATACATTATTCTTTGTGAAAAATCAATCATACATGAACAAGTGAAAAATCATAATATCTATCCTCCTGATTACAAAGATGTCAAGTTTTCTTAAATCAATTCACATGTTTAAAGTGAGTGTAAATGCTACCAGGAAGTTTCTTAAACAAAAATTCACAATAAGACTATCTTGAGAAGTTCCTAAAATCATGAATAATAGGGGGCCCTGACTCTGCTAAGGTAGGAAGATAACAATAATAGCAAAGGCTGATAAAAATTAAAATCAGGAAAATTATAACAGGTGATAAACACTTGGTTTTTAAGTAACAAAATAGAGAAATATATAGTAAATCATTTTCTTTTGCTTACAAAAGGGATGTGCACAAAATTAAAAATAATAAAAACAATGTGATCAAAATGTGTTATGTGTACCCTGTATAATTAATAGGCATATATATATACATATATATATATACATAAAATATGTGAATGATAAAGATAGTGTAGCTAATGTGGTGTTCCGCAGTTCCAGACCATACTGTGGGTAATCCAATGCTAACATTTTCATATCTTGTGAAATAGGGTATTTCATGGCAATATGAACCACCACTATTGTTTCAAGAAATGGACGGCTGGAGCTATAGCTCAGCGGCATGGTGCCTGCCTGGCAAGTGCAAGGTCCTGAGTTTGATTCCCAGTTTAAAAAAAAAAAAAAGATCAAGAAATGGAAATGCTGAACTGGCCAGTAGCAAGAGGACAGCGCCAGGCCCCTGGGAATGATCTCCCCAGAGCCCCAAGCTGTGATCCTTGCCAGGAAGCTGCTTCCCAACCTTCAGAGAACCGTAAATGTCCGTGGCCATCCCATAGGGTCAAACAAACTGATGGGAACCTACCCAGAGCGCAGGAAACCACTTACCCTGAGTTCTGAGTCCCGGGCTGACCTACAAAGTCTCTGCAGCATGTGATCTTCACATTTTTGAACATAAGTACAAAGTACTTTAAACAAATCGTGAGAAAAATAAGTTCAAAACATGTTTTAAAATAACCGTCTATAATTAAGTAGCATTTATCACATAAATTTGAGAAATTATAAATGTTTAACAAATGTATTGATACGTTGCATCAATCAAAGTGAAATATGTTAAAATATAGTTACATTAATTTTTCTTAAGCATTCCAAATTAAGCAGTTAGACCCTAGCATCATTCCTGATTTTGAGAGAACTTCTAGTAAATAACAACAAAAATACTACCTAAATATTACAAAAATAAACATCCAGCTTTTTTTTTTTTTTTTTTTTTTTTAGTTTTACTCAGTGTTTTTTTTCTTTTTTGGGGTTTGTTTTTTGTTTTTTTTTTTTTCCGGTACTGGGAACCGAACTCACAACCTTGCTCTGGCCAGGCAGGTGCTGTGCCGCTGAGCTAAGTCCCCAGCCCCTCAGTGTTTATTTTCATTTGAAGACAGTGGTAATCATATATAAATCAAGGACAATAACAAGTTCTTCTTGCCTGGAAAATGTCCACACGAATCTGTTAATCCCTAAGTATAGATACGGTATTTTTAATAGAAAGACAGGGCAATATGGCAGTTAATAGCAAACAATACTGTAAACTACAGTAGATACAAAGTTTTATATAAATTAATTGCCATTTTAAAAAGGCAACTGCTGTAGAAGGTACAAAACCTGGTAACTTCCATAGCTGTAACAAGAAGCTAAGTGAAAGAATACACAACAGACTATTTTCCCTATATAATATTTGAGTATTCAAACTGAGACACCTGTGGCACTTTACTGGAAAGTAGAAATAGGACATACACCCCCGTTCCCAGCCCCCACCCACCCGAGTGGGCCCTCCCCCTCCCCCCACATGGATTTCCAAAACACAGCAAATTCTAGGGTTACAGGACAGGATGCCACTCTGAAAGCAAGACAGTGAGCTCCGACCTGCTAGACAAAGAAGGAGCCTTATTGACAATTGTAAAACATCACGCGTCAGACAGAAACTTGTCAAAAACAGCTGCTGTGGCTACTGATTGATACTGTCTTCATTCTGGGGGCTGAGACACTGCAGACAGTCTTGGGTCTGAGGGGAAGCCCATCGCTGGCACGCACGTGAACACACACAGACAACGGGAAGTCATTTAACAGCTGGCTTGGGCACACTCAGCCGCAGTATCTTAAAAAGACAACATTCTGCGTTTAATGAACTCGCAGGGGAAGCAAGGCCGAATAATCACTTATTGTTTCACAGAAGATGAGCACAATAGGATGAAATAAAAACAAGAATCGTGTAACTGATCACTGGAATACAAGTTCTGTGCTGCTCATGGATTATTACACAGTGTTAGGAATATTCAAGGATATTGCCGGCAAAACTGTGCATGCTGTGGAGCTTCTGCAACCCATGACAGTGGAGGGGGAGCATAAAGAAGTGCTGCAGGTTTCACAGGTGACGTCATTAAAATCTGGTGTAAGATAAAATCACAAAACTGCCTCTGAACGATGTGAAGGGTCTGAAGTATATTGACTGGAGAACTACCAGGCTTTCTCTCATCCTTTAATACAGTGGGAATCTGTGCCATTTGGGTATCAGTCTACGCTACTTAAAAATTACTGGTTAGGGGGGCTGGGGATTTAGCTCAGCGGCAAAAGCGCCTGCCTGGCAAGCGCAAGGTCGTGAGTTCGGTTCCCGGTACTGGAGAAAAACCAAAAAAAAAAAAAAAAAAAAAAAAAAAATTACTGCTCAGGTGTAGGGAGCAGTTTTCTATTATTTGGTCACTTAATATTTTAATAAGTGGTCAAAAGTCTATAAAATGTACCTAAGAATATTTTATCTATGAACCTCAATATCATAGATTATTCCTGATTTAGAAAAGGTCAAAGGCATTAAACCTTACGGAAACTACATTATCTCTGTGCAATTTTATCATTTAAATAACGTGGAAAAAATTAGTTCCAAAGACTGAATCTAGACCCTCAAATTATCTGCTGTAGCCCCAGCATATTTTTAAGGGCACATTGAAACCCCTGAAGAGAGAGGTTTATAATAGAAATACTGATAGACCTTTAACTACCCGATGGAGGCTTTAATAGACTCCATCAAACTACATTAGCACTTCATGAACAAATAACCAGATGATTCTGTCTTCGATATCTTTGTCAAATCCATTCCAGCTTAAACCCAAATGAGTATAAACTGTATTTTGCTCGGCTATTTTAAAATTTTAATCTGTTATTTTAAAAATTATTTTCTATATTTGAAACACTTTTGAATTTTAGAAAAAAGGTATGTGTATCATGTTGCAGTTTGACTTAGTGCAGGCTAATTATTCCATTAAAAATATTTGAGGACACAATCAAATGTATTCAGTGATGCATGCATTGTGCCTAACTTTCCTGCAGTTCCTCAAAATTTAAATCAGGGTCTTTGCTCTTAAAAGAGGGAAGAAAGTGAGACCCAGATATAATCAAGGAAACGCTGCGTGTCTGGCCTTTCAGTTCTTCAAAGCTAATTTTACTATGGCAGGAAATTCCTTTATGATAAGATGATATATTAAAATTTTTGGTACTCATTTTTCACTCATACTCTATAAGGTCCATATACAAAGAAGCAAATAAGATAGAGTAAAAAAAAAAAAACAAAAACAAAAAAAACAAAAACAGAACCAGATCCCAAGAGATCCTGAAAAATGACGTACATGTTATGTGGCGTTCCAGTGAAACAATACTCCACTCCCAAACCAGGGAAAATTAGTCAAGGTTCTGAGTCTTTCTGGCTTCTTCGTAAGGGATTTGATTTCTGTGAGCCGTGAATTCCATCCATTTTCGAACAAAG